CTGACATGTCTGTCTAAAGAATATTTTGGTGAACAGCGGGAATACTATTCATGGAAATGGCACCTGTAAGCCAATGCCTATTTATGAATTGGACTGACTGACTGAGTTTGGTTTTACACCGCTTTTATGAATTGGAAATTGATAGCAATGAAAAACATTAGATTCTGAAAATCCTAAGAAGAAAGTTTACTTTCTTCATGCAAAAAAGGCCTGATCAATAAAATTTCTAGTTATAATTTTCAGTCAATATGCTAAGAGGTACATAGTAAAAAAAATAAAAAATTTAGAGCTGATTTGAGGATAATATCTGAAACACATTTGAAAAACAATTTTACATATAATTCCACACATATTATATAATAATATGTACAAAAAATATGGTATCATTATCTTTGAAAGCACTAAGCAACAAATGAATAATTAAGACATACCAGTAAATTTGTTAAACAGGAGTCAGTGAGTTAGTTTTACGCCACACTCAGTAATTCCAGCTATATGGCGGTGGTCTGTAAATAATTGAGTCTGGGCCAGACAATCCAGTGATCAACAGCATGAGTATTGATCTATGCAGTTGGGATACGATGACATATGTCAACCAAGTCTGCAAGCCTTGTCAAACAGGAAGCACTGAATGCAAAGAATTATTGATAAATGTCAAAAACCTGATGGCTGTCAAGACCCCAAATGAACACTTCTAAAATATGAAATAAGCATGTTTTGTAGAGTTATACTTATGGCGCTGTGGCAGCGTCAACAAATGTACATTCAGGGGTCATCTCAAAAGTCATAAGTCATCTAATCTGCAATGTAGATTGTTTGATGCAGCTATACCTCCTGTCTAGATTTACTCAGCTTGAAGGAAACCCATTCAATAAATCTTTGTAAAGTAGATGATAATGTGTGTATGATATGTTAAAAAAATCCAGCATGTCACAAAGGGCAATTGGCCAACCATGGTCAACTAATCAGATAGTCCACCCATCCTATTCCAGCTAGTGATAACCCTTGAGATTATCCAATGTACCATCCTGCATCATCACTGTACCCTGTCACAGGATTGGTTGGGGGAAGAGTAAATAACATCCTGGTTGGACATAAAGTCCGGGACCAGCGTTCCTTACAGAACAACCACTGCGCTAACTATTACCACCGATGCAGAACAAAACATCTATCATTACAACAGGCACAGTTCCCAAGTTATTATTCTCTTGCACAAAATGTCTCGGAGATTACATCACAATGCTCTCTTGTCAACTGCCATATGAAAATGCTATCACATTTTTCCAAAATAATTCTGCACACATGATCAAATATCCTTTCCTATTTTCTCCTATCAGTCTCATTACTCACAACGGACATGCTTGTAGCAGTATGGCTATTTCATCTTACGTACAAGTGTCTGCATGTGAGTCGGTTCAGCTAGAGTTTCTTCACAATTATTCAGGAAATGCAAAAAATGACTTTGCATGTTTCTCTGAATCTAATTAGATGTTGTACATTATGATTCACAGTGTAATTATGTTATTGCTCAGCCGGAATCTCTGTGATGATAAATCCCTGGTATCCATTGTATGTAGATGAGCTCTGGGGAAAGCTGGGCTGATCAACATGGCTCAAGATGCATGGAGGCAGTACACCTGTTCATACTTATATAAACTTGCAACTGTATTTTGTAATCCATTTCTCACATTCCATTTTCTTTCATACCCTTATTTAAAGTATTTTTACCTATTTTCAAATGAGCTATTTCTGTCATTCTTACTCTTAGGATAGAGGCATTGAGGGTGTATATCTTCAGAGGAACAGTCAGTATATAACATACTTGTTCCCAAGACATGGCTACATACAATGAGTGAATGTGTTGGGTTGTGTATATAGTGTGTGAATGTGTTGAGCAGTGTATACAGTGTGTGAATATGTTGAGCAGTGTATACAGTGTGTGAATGTGTTGGGTTGTGTATACAGTGTGTGAATGTGTTGAGTTGTGTATACAGTGTGTGAATGTGTTGGGTTGTGTTTACAGTGAGTGAATGTGTTGGGTTGTGTATACAGTGATTGAATGTGTTGGGTTGTGTGTATACAGTGTGTGAATGTGTTGGGTTGTGTGTGCTGTGTTGGGATGTGTGTATACAGTGTGTGAATGTGTTGGGATGTGTGTATATAGTGTGTGAATGTGTTGGGTTGTGTACAGTTGTGGATGTTGAGTGTGTGTATATATACAGTGTGTGAATGTGTGTGTGAAGTGTGTGAATGTGTTGGGTTGTGTATACAGTGTGTGAATGTGTTGGGATGTGTGTATACAGTGTTTGAATGTGTTGAGTTGTGTGCACAGTGAGTGAATGTGTTGGGTTGTGTGTGTACAGTGTGTGAATGTGTTGGGATGTGTGCACAGTGAGTGAATGTGTTGTGTGCACAGTGAGTGAATGTGTTGGGATGTGTGTATACAGTGTGTGAATGTGTTGGGTTGTGTATACAGTGAGTGAATGTGTTGGGTTGTGTATACAGTGTGTGAATGTGTTGGGTTGTGTGTACAGTGTGTGAATGTGTTGGGTTGTGTGCATAGTGTGTGAATGTGTTGGGTTGTGTGTACAGTGTGTGAATGTGTTGGGTTGTGTGCACAGTGTGTGAATGTGTTGGGTTGTGTGTTGTGTATAGTGAGTAAGTGGATGTGTTGGGTTGTGTGTACAGTGTGTGAATGTGTTGGGTTGTGTGTACAGTGTGTGAATGTGTTGGGTTGTGTGCACAGTGAGTGAATGTGTTGAGTTGTGTGTACAGTGTGTGTGAATGTGTTGGGATGTGTGCACAGTGTGTGAATGTGTTGAGTTGTGTGCACAGTGTGTGAATGTGTTGGGTTGTGTGCACAGTGTGTGAATGTGTTGGGTTGTGTGTACAGTGAGTGAATGTGTTGACAATGTGTTGGGTGTGTATACAGTGGGTGAATGTGTTGGGTTGTGTATACAGTGTGTGAATGTGTTGGGTTGTGTATACAGTGTGTGAGTGTGTGAATATGTTGGGTTGTGTGTGTGTACAGTGAGTGAATGTGTTGGGTTGTGTGTACAGTGTGTGAATGTGTTGGGTTGTGTGTACAGTGTGTGAATGTGTTGATGTGTTGGGTTGTGTGTACAGTGTGTGTGTGCATGTGTTGGGTTGTGTGCACAGTGAGTGGTGTTGGGTGTGTATGTGTTGGGGTTGTGTGTACAGTGAATGTTGGGTTGTGTGTACAGTGGGGTTGTGTAATGTGTTTAGTTGTGTATACATTGTGTGAATGTGTTGGCTTGTACATACAGTGTGTGAATGTGTATACAATGTGTTGGGTTGTGTATACAGTGAGTGGATGTGTATACAATGAGTTGGGTTGTGTGTACAGTGGGTGTATGTGTTTAGTTGAGTATACATTGTGTGAATGTGTTGGCTTGTACATACAGTGTGTGAATGTGTATACAATGTGTTGGGTTGTGTATACAGTGAGTGTATGAGTTAGGTTGTACATACAGTGAGTGAATCTGTTGAGCTGTGTATTAGTGAGTGAATGTCATTAGCTTTGTATACAGTGAGTACACATGTTTGTTAGTGTATGCATTGAGACAGCATTTCAAAGCCAGTTTGAATATTAACGACATTGTGCAACATGAGGTTGAGCCTCTGATATATTGTGTGATATGCAAGGAGAGGAACCCAGAGTAAATACATCCCTGACATAGCTACTTCAAGAAGGATGTTCTGCTCAACATCAAAGCTGAATGTCCACGTTGTAAAGGGGATCTGCTTATTAGAATAGTACAGTGATAATTAATGGGATGAAACATAGTTAGGTTCACTAAATCTGAAATGTCAAGATTGTGTGGTACTGTCTAGTCTCATTAAAGTATTCATCAAAACCATTAAAAACATCATTTATATGTTTCAACCTTGATCTAAATGGGCATCAGGTTTTTTGTGTGCATATTTCTTTTTTAAACATTAAGAATTGGCAGATATTTTTACAAATCTTTCAACAAAATTTGATTTTCCATATCTCAACAATCAACCAAATTAACAAACCCACCCAAAGCATCAAGTGATAAAACACATTCTAACCATCTCCCACAACACATCTAAAAAGAAAAACGTCACTGAAACAGTTCACAAGGCAGGATGTAAATTAATCAGGGATGCAAAAGTGAGATATAACATACCTTGACACATGTCGAAACATTGTGTCTCTAAATATCACCACTGACATACTAAACTGCTGCTAAACATTACCACACATTGTGACTGGCTCTTAAGCTTTAAGGAAATAAAACAGTGTCTACAATAACATATCATGACAAGATGCAAGAAAGTCCTTATTTAACTCCCTTTCCTCTAAAATGAATAACTTTCTCACACTTACTACCACTGAAAAATTTAACCTCCTTTTTAGAAATAATGATCCAAATAGTATAGAAATTATTTGCTACCACATGTACAACTTTAAACAAATATAGAAGATCTGATTGCCCTAGGCCATTATTATTATTATTATACACATCTGTATTATTATATGTTTTGTTGCTCATCATATATATGTGATTCATTATATATCTTGTTTATGTAGTTTATAGAATATCGTCACTGTTTCTGTATGGAACGTTTGCACAATAAATTTTTTTATTTGATCTCTATAGCAACCAATAGGCAATGTAAATAGTAGCAATAAACATATATCTGTCCAAATCGCAGTCCAGGACTTCCATAAAATGATACCAACACTTACATTCAGACAATGTATCAACCTCCTCTTTATTTTATCACATTTCATTATTACCATTTCATGAATCACATCTTGCATATATTCAAAATAAATCCCATCTGTCTTCCTATACACCCTAACATCCTGATAACTCCTAATAAACATCTTTCTGAGTAAAATCTGCAAGACGTAAAGAGAGACAGCCACATTTATCAAAGGAGGCAGATGATTGGAGTATAGAGTTATCAAGCCTAACTTCCTCACAAACAAGCACTGCAGTGTGCCTCGGACAGGTTGAGAAAACCTTGCACAGCCGCAGAGGGACGGATGAGACTGGTTAGGTAATTGTGGCTATGTAGAAGGTGATGCTGAACCACAGGGGCAGTGAGTTAATGGCAGGCAACAATAAGGAGCCGGATAGTTTAACCTTATAATTGGCCGTAACCCGAAGCTTCACGCTCCACCCCCTTCCTGTCAATCTCTCTTGTGTATATTTTTGACTCACAGGCGGGCAATTGTCTCAGAAAGTGTAGAAGTGGAGGGGCCAAGGTAAACATAAATATACAGCATACTCCTCTCAGTGTTCATAGATGGGACTCAGTTTGTAGTTGCTGTCAACTGAATTTCCCTGACTGTTTCACCTATCCTCAGCAAACACTTTTAGTGTCTGAAGAGAAAAAAAGTGGACATCACTTGTACATTTTCAAATTTAAACTAAGAAGTTTATTCCCTGTGGGTGTTTCTCTTTGAGACTTTGCACTGTGAGATTATTGTTTTACCTAAAGGAACTGTGTGAATCACGAAGCAAAAAGGATCTGGTTGATGTCCAAGAATCTGCCTGGGATTGCTCCAGCAAGCCTACCCAGAAGCCGAGGTTCATGATCAGCTGTTAAGAGTGAATGGCAAACCTATCTGCCCAAGAAGCGTGGTCTGTTGAGACAATGTCCACTTTGACACCATACATGATGAGTGGAGGGGACAATTTTACTTCCACGACAATGGCACCTAGGCCACCATCGATGATAATGCCAGAATATGTGCAGACAGTAGAATATGTTTGTCTCCAGGTGCTTGTTCCACTGATTGTCTGTTTTGGAGTTTTGGGAAACGTCCTAAGTTTGGTGGTTCTAACCAAAAAAGAGATGGTGTCTCCAACCAACTGTTTCCTGATTGCTTTGGCAATATCTGACTTGCTACTTCTTGCGATTCAGATTCCCCATTTTCTCTCCTTTCACCCGGACTGGAATAAGGCTTCATCCTTCATCACCTTCCATAGGCATTTCACCATCTTCAGGTAAGAATCTTAAGTTTTCTTTCATAAGGGTTTGACAAAATGCTAGTAAAGCTGTTCAGCGACATTGTGTCTACTGGTTGTTTGAATTAAGAAATAACTAGTTATCGTTTTACATTATATATAAAAGTATGAAAAGACACATTTTGTGAGAATAACTGAACTACAAGCAATAATTAGAAATCAGTATAAATGTTTAAACTTGTAGTTGTCCAATACTCTTATATTCCTGTTGCACCAGTCTAGAAAACACACGTTTGTTTTTTTTGCTCACTAGGATCATATTTAACAGACGAAATAATAATATGATTGGAAAATATTCCAATATACTACTAGCAAAACTCTGAAAGTCGGATAATATTTGAGGAATAATGTTATTTTCTGAAGTTGAACATGTTAAAATGGTGCACAGTGCACTATAGATATTCATTAAGCTATCATCCGAAAATATTATTTTTTTAAATGGTCAGTCAGGTTAATCACAGCAAAATGAAATAAATAAAATAACATTTAAAAAATGACATTTCCCAAGAAGGCACTTCATCAACACTCAAGCCACTGTTGAAATGGTCCCGATGTTAAAAAAGAAGTATGGTGGTCCCACTGGCTTTTCTTGTTACACCAGTTATGACACCCATAAAAACACAACCCAAAAATGCTAATCTGATAAAATGTCCAAAAATGATGAAAGATCTGATGACAAAAGAAATGTGAAGAATGTTTTTTTACATCCATATTGTGAAAAGAATGCATTTAATAGGTTTGTGATGGATAAAAACTATCCAACAGCAGTCTAGCCATTCACAAGATTCAAGAAACTGATGAAAAACGAAGCTTGACAAAAGTGATAAATATGCCACTGATGTACATTGGGAGCCAGATACAGAACATACAGCCATTATTTCTGTATGGCGACACATTCCATTGAGGGTTACTAGACATTAAGTTTCAGTTTACAGAACAAAGAACTACAATTAGCATTTCTTTTGAGCATTACTACACCCAAATCCTGTTTTTCTTATCAGCAGTGTGAACAGATGTTATCATCAAGATCATAAAAAGATATGTCATGATTATACATGGAAAATAAGATACGAAAATCATTCAAAATAATTCAATATTCTGTGGTAAGATAAGAGCTCTCTGATATTATCACAGGTTGTCTTATATGACGTAAATTCCCATCACATGCAGACGATATCCTTAGTTTACATCTCCCTGTCAGCAGTAACATTGTGGATGTGCCATTTGTCTTGATTGTTTGGCCTAAAAGGATATTAGGTAATGCAGAAGAAGATAAGGGCATTTGAACATGTACTGGTACCAATTTAACAGCTTTTATGGATGATATACAGTGCCGATATACACAAGGATACAGATATGTTTTTTGGAAGTGAAGGAAGTAGGGAAGGGACATTCAGTTCACAGAATGAGCCTCTACAAACTGAGGTCAATGTTACGATCTCATCATTAAGCTACACTACACCTTTATTCCTTTTTAAAGATAAATTTATAAATTTTGCCAAAGTGAATTTTAAGTATATAGAAAAAAAATGGGGTGTGTGGCAGGGTGTGTGAAATACTGCTTTGTCCTGCAAATGCGTCTTTCAAACAGTTTGTAACTTTGTATTTGTTATCATATCATGGGTTTGTTTCAGGAAATGAATCTCAACACACTGTCGTAACTATAGTTTTCCCAGTCTGATGTATCATAGCAGTATGTTCAACCAATAGATCTGTAAATCAACAAACATGTGCATCCTCTAGGTACAGCTGGTTGCATCCCATGCTCGAAACCTATGGCCATGGCTTCAAATCCCAGACTCAATCTGACTGTTTCTAGGTTTGACAGCAACATACTTGTGGATGTCACCAAAGTAGTATATTTTTATCACTTTGAGATTTATTCGTATATTAAAGTTGAACATTGTTAAAAGCGACAATTCCACATTTACTTGTCCATGGTATACATGTGTTTGTTCTATCACCTCATCAGGAAGTAGACTGGAGCCTATCCTGATTGCATGTTGCTAGTGACTCATGCACTTCTAGATGAGAACTGGGTAGTGTCGGAGTCCACGGACATCGTACTGCACTGAACATGCTTAATACTGTCCATAATTACATATTACATGAGTCACCCACTGCAGCCAACAGTAATGAGGAGAATATTCAGTGATGGTCTGAATAATGACTGATGTCAATAATTTGCCAACAAAATTGTAGTGTGCAATGCCATTATATCAAATTGGTTGTGCTTTGAAATGACACTGAAAGTTTCAGGAGAAAGAAATGATATATATGTATATTTGGGTTTTAAGGGCTTTGTAAAGACATACTGATTGTCAGTGTTAAGAATATGAGAGAGTATTTGAGTTTTGAGTGCACAGGGTATTGGAGATTACAATGCAAAGAACATGGCCTGTATTTCAGGGAGGTGTTTGATCTTGACTATGCAAGATATTGGATGGGTTAGAGGTTTAAATATGAAGGACACTTGAATGTAATGTAGGAAGCATAGCAGTTCTGAGTGAAAATATACTTGAGGGTATTTGGGGATTGAGGCTTATTCAGTGATTGCAAAGTCCTGAAATCTATGAGACAAAAAATCTTGATGGAGCATTATTACAGGTCTACTATAGACCCAGAGGAAGTTCACACATCGGGAACAGTGTTTGGGGATTACAGGATGTTTTCACTAACTGTGTTGAACAGCAAAGGTGTATTTCTTTTCACCATTACCATGTGTAATCTTGGCTGTATGGCAAAACCAAGGCAAGGGCATGCATGACATAGAAACAGTTTGCTGCTGGGAGCACAGTCATGCTGGGCTGTTGGAGCAGTCGATGCTAATGAACCCTATACAGCAATATTCCAGATATATGATGGCAGTCTGTAAATAACCGAGTCTCAACCAGAACATCCAGTGATCAGCATTGTGAGCAATGATATATCAATCAAATAGCTGAGGCTAAACACCTGACCCCTCTTACCACCAGTATTAGTTGCTGGGGACTTTGACCCTCAATCCCAACCAAGGGAAGGATAAATGTGTATGCTGCATGATTAAAGAAAGATTTCACCTTAGACATTCTGAAGAGGGCATATCCTTCCCATAGGAACACACTGAGCACCTCTGTCATTGCTATGTTGTTTCTCATGGATACCAATGAATTTATACAATGAAAGTCTTTACAAACATTTGGACCTTGTGCTATATATATGTTATAGAGTGAACCAGATAATAAAATTATTCAAGACAGAACACCAGTATTAAGTAGAGAATAACATTTTGAAAAATAAGGACAAACTGATGAGATTTCCAAATATAATTGACCATGATTTACAAAATCTAATAATGAGACACTGAGGACCTATATACATTATGAGACACAATTTGACTTCTTAGAATAACAGAACATTGTCACATGATGGAAGAAGTTCTGACTGCAAATATGAATTCTTTTAAATATATAGTCACATGACCTATCTTCCTTGTAAGAAATTGCCAGATATGGATTAAGGATGGTCATGGTATTGATGTGTAGGATTCAGCTAAATTGTCTGTAGTGGTTGATGTGTAGGTGGTCTACACATATACAAGACAACAGTATTCCTGGGTACAATGAGCCCCTTGATAACACCAGTCCTTATCTGTATGAGGAAAAGGATCCCCACCCACACATTATTTCTGTCCTTGTCAACGACTTATCTCGATGATGCAGGATATATATTCTTCCTTGTACACTTGTAATACACAGTTCTTCACTGTCCAGTATCCACACGGATGTACATGTTATTCCTCCAGTATTGTCTATGGGACTAGAATACGGAATACTTTCAGTGCAGATAAGTGTCATAGGTCCTACTTACAGTGCTTGAAAGTGGCATAAGTCCTACTTATAGTGGCATAAGTCCTACTTAACAGTGCTGGAAAGTGGCATAAGTCCTACTTACAGTGCTGGAAAGTGGCATAAGTCCTACTTATACAGTGCTGGAAAGTGGCATAAGTCCTACTTACAGTGCTGGAAAGTGGCATAAGTCCTACTTATAGAACTGGAAAGTGGCATACGTCCTACTTACAGTGCTGGAAAGTGGCATAAGTCCTACTTATAGAGCTGGAAAGTGGCATAAGTCCTACTTACAGTGCTGGAAAGTGGCATAAGTCCTACTTACAGTGCTGGAAAGTGGCATAAGTCCTACTTATAGAACTGGAAAGTGGCATAAGTCCTACTTACAGTGCTGGAAAGTGGCATAAGTCCTACTTGGCAGAACTGGAAAGTGGAAAGTGTCATAGGTCCTACTTATAGTGCTTGAAAGTGGCATAAGTCCTACTTACAGTGCTGGAAAGTGGCATAAGTCCTACTTATAGAGCTGGAAAGTGGCATAAGTCCTACTTACAGTGCTGGAAAGTGGCATAAGTCCTACTTATAGAACTGGAAAGTGGCATACGTCCTACTTACAGTGCTGGAAAGTGGCATAAGTCCTACTTATAGAGCTGGAAAGTGGCACAGTGCTGGAAAGTGGCATAAGTCCTACTTATAGAACTGGAAAGTGGCATACGTCCTACTTACAGTGCTGGAAAGTGGCATAAGTCCTACTTATAGAGCTGGAAAGTGGCATACATCCTACTTATAGAGCTGGAAAGTGGCATAAGTCCTACTTACAGTGCTGGAAAGTGGCATAAGTCCTACTTATAGAGCTGGAAAGTGGCATACATCCTACTTATAGAGCTTGAAAGTGGCATAAGTCCTACTTACAGTGCTGGAAAGTGGCATAAGTCCTACTTATGGAGCTGGAAAGTGGCATAAGTCCTACTTACAAAGGCTGAAAGTGGCATAAGTCCTACTTACAGTGCTGGAAAGTGGCATAAGTCCTACTTACAGTGCTGGAAAGTGGCATAAGTCCTACTTATAGAGCTGGAAAGTGGCATAAGTCCTACTTACAGTGCTGGAAAGTGGCATAAGTCCTACTTAAGCTGGAAAGTGGCATAAGTCCTACTT